CTGGATGATGCCCTGCGTTCCTAGTTGGTTTCTTTTTCGTAGGGTTGCCATATTCCCCAAACTGAGAATCTGTTGATCCCCAAATATTTATCCCAAATAATTTTGGGGCTTGTTTTCAATTCTTAAAAGCATTTTTTCCCTTTAAAAATCGCTCTACTTGCCATACCTCCAGGTTTCACTGGATATTTTGCCAATTCAGCAAAAATCATCCCAGATGCCTTTTTAACAGTCTGATTCCCGGATGTGAATATGTGATATGGCAGTCCTATTTTAAGAGTGTTTTGGATATCCATGATGAGATACAAAATCAAATGCTTTTGTTAATTTTAAGAATTTTCAGCATTTTAAATATGCTGCTGACTCTGCAATATTAGATTGCATGCCAAGATTAGTGTCACGAACTGGCAGGACTCTGGGGAAAAGGAAGAGGAGGAAGATCCCAGCCAGGGGTTTAGCCAGGACTGGGACACACCGGGGTAAGCTGGGGGTGGGGAAGGAGATGTTAGTATAGGAAGTACTCACAGGGTGCCAGAGGAGGACGAGGAAATGGGGGTTGGTGCACAGAAATCAGAGCAGCAGGACCCATCACCAGAGCCAGAGGGGCCCCTGTCTCCCTGAACACAGCAGGCTCTGAGGCATAGGGAGCAACAGGCAGTGTGCTCCAGGAGGCTGAGATAGGCAAGGGCCCACAGCCCAGCTCCTTAGCTGCCCAGGTGGGGCTCATTAGCTCTGGGAAGAAAGGTGTGATTCCTCAGATGGAGCAGGCTCAGAACAGGTGAAGGTCATCTGCCTCGTCAAGCCCAGATGCTGCAATCAGCATGCAAAGGGAAGCAGAGCTGATATGCTGTGTCTGCTCAACTGCCCATGTTGATACTCCTGGACCTCCATGGGACTGTACTTTGGGCGTGACGCTGCACTGCATCCTGACTTCAGACTTGCATTGACACTGGACCTCGTTTCCTGACCTTCTTTGGATCTTGGATTGTGGACTTTGCGGATGCTGATTTTGAGCTTGGCCTCAGCACACTGTCTGGCTGCCAGGTAGGCCTGGGGGCTCAGGACAATTAGTAACTGAGTATAATCAGGTGGTTTCCTGGAACCACATATATTCTGTGATTAGGTGTCAGGCTAGACGGAATCCTAGGCTCCACTGCAGTGGAATGGGGGTGAGGGGAAGAGTCAATGTATTTCATCTCTCTCCATTGAATCAGATCGCAGTGTTTTAGCTTACGCCCCCTCCTTGCCAGAGCAATGTTATACTGACACAGGAGCCGGTCTGAAATGTCACTCTAGAAGTAACTCTTTGTGTCCAAAGACAACAGAGTCTTACAGCATTGTGGACTAGAGCCCGTCTTCATCAGATGTAAGATAATATCTGTCTGCAAATTTCTTCTTTAACCTGCTCTTCAGCCAAAAAGGCTCCCAGAGCAACTTACCGACATTTGATTAAAACAAGACAGGATTTTAATCTAAAAGATGCAACACAAAAGGGGATGGGGAGGGAAGGGGGGGACGGGACACAAATTCTTTAAGTTAAATAGTAGCTCTTATAATGGTCAGCTGCTATGGAAACAGTTCAGGGGCAGAAGAGCCCAGTGGAGCTGTTATTTTGATGGAGCTGCTTCTCATTGCATGAGGCTGATGAATTTCCAAATCATCATACAGCTAAATCTGGTGCCATTGATGTCAATGACCTCTAAAGGATTACCGTATTTTTCTCTCTATAAGACGCACCAGACCACAAGACACACCTAGTTTTTGGAGGAGGAAAACAAGAAAAAAAAATATTCTGAATCTCAGAAGCCAGAACAGCAAGAGGGATCGCTGCGCAGTGAAAGCAGCAATCTCTCTTCCTGTTCTGGCTTCTGGGATAGCTGCGCAGCCTGCATTCGTTCCATAAGACGCACACACATTTCCCCTTACTTTTTAGGAGGGAAAAAGTGAGTCTTATAGAGCAAAAGTCTGTACCAAAGGTCCACATGTGTTAGCTTGGTTTACTAGCCAAGCATTATTTCTGATCACCACCAATTTGCTTCCCCCATATCTTCTGGCAAGCACAGTTGACTTGGGAGAGAGGCAGGGCCTTCACTCATCTGGATGGAGCTGGGCAAAAGTAAGAAGCAGAAGGATTCTCTCCTACTGCTCAGAATGGGACTCCTGCAATTTCTCAAAAAATGCAGCGGAAATAAGACCTCTAGGGGGGTGGTAGGTCAAGTGTTCAGCTCACCAGTGGGTTGGGGGCACTTGGCTCTGATGTGCTGATTTGTGGATTGCTGGTCAATCAGAGTATGATCCAGTAGATCTGTTCAGGCTTTCAGGTGCAGTGGAAGACTCTTCCTTGTTTTTGCTGCAACACACTAACGTGGCTAGGAGTTCCCAGGAAATGGTGGGCCATTTGGCTTTGCTCTGCTGGTTTTCCCACTCGGGACCAATGAACACAATCGGTCAAAGAGTGCCCCAACCCTATGCTCCCCTTTGCACAGTGGTGCAGCTAGGTCTGGCCAGAGCCACAAACTCCAGGGCCCCCCCACCCTGAAAGTGACAGCATGGAGAGCAGCAAATGATCTGGAAACAGGCCCTGGATCAGCACTTGAGCCAGCTTGGGCCCGTGCTGGGACTGATCACCCTAGCTCCCTTTCTCCATCCTATATGAAATATTCTGTAGTTATGTAAATGGTTACAGATGCTCCTTTTCTTATTTTTCCTTTTAGAAATATGTTGGCTTTTTCTACCAAAAAAAATAATAAAAAAAATAAAAATGTTTATTTCTAAGACAAAGGGAGCTGTCTGGTGCGCTCGTTCCACTAGCACGAGGATTTACACTTGTGCAATGGAACTCCCCGCCCTCCTCTTCCTCCTGCACATGCCCCCTGCCCTCCCCAAACCTGCTCCGGAGGGTTGGGAAGAACCCAGAACAGATTTAGGGGGGGGGCACATGGCAGGGGCAGCAGGGGAAGTTCCGTTTCACACGTGCAAATATTTGCATTGCTGGAACAAGTTACTCAGTGCTGCACTGGATATAACCCATGTGGTTTTGCGTGGCAGAAGCAGCAGTAGACTGCCATCACCACAATGCTATGATTTGAGAGAGTCTTAAATGAAAACTGCACATGCTCAAAGTATTTACTTTCCCCCCTCAGGGATGAACAAGATCATAGCAGGGGTGAACAAGTAGTTGTGAAGCAGAGGTCACATAACCTTTTGGATCTTGTGGGGATCTTTGTAAGCCAGAGGGACTGTTGTGGGCACCCCACCACAACAAAGCACACCCCACTACCTGTTCTGTTAGCTCTAGTGGGATGTTAGTTTGAAGCCTTCAGTGGGAAGAAGGGTGGGGAGGGACCTTGGGGGCCTCTGGGGGACGCATGTGTGCCTGTGGGCACCACGTTGGCAATCCCAGGTACTACTTGGGGACAAGAAGGGGCATATTAGTTGTGTGCTTCAGAGATTGAAGTAACACGCACAGCTGTTTTAAAAAAAGGGACCTTGTTCGTGGCCCATAAGACCATGAAATGAAGATCTGAAATTAACAACATGCCCCACTGTCTTTGCATGTACGGTAATACCTACATTCTCAGTGACAAGAATAGCTCTGTGCAGGAGGGTCGTGGCAATACTTTGCTGGTATTTGCTGTGACTCAACTCCCAGAGTTTCATATCCAAAATGAGTTTTTGCTGTCAAGGTGTTTTCAACCTGAAATGACTAAGCAGGCTGCTGTTTATGGGTGCAAGGCAGGGGGAAGCAACAGGTTTAGGGGTGAGAACGCGCAGCATCGGCACAGGAGCCCTTTCAGTCTCTGCAGCTGGCCCTGGAGCAACCTCTGCCACCTGCAAAACAACAACCACAACCCCCCCCCCAAAGCAGCAGGCAGCCATATGTATCACAAAATTATCTTTATTTCTCTGATGGCTGTAAACAAAAGTGTACAGTACTTCTCAACTCATACAGAGCCTTTTCTATAAGCTGCTCTGCAACACAGTAGTAAAAACATCAGATTTCCAAAAGTGCCTTGTTACATTAATTTCCTTGCCAGGATTTGTGCAAATTCAGAGGAGCAGGGGAGGAAATACAGTATATAGATCAGCTTGCCCCAGCCCCTTCCTGGTTGTTACTCGACATAAACCCCAATGCTTGGGACAATGGGAGCTTTTGCCCAATAACATCTGGAGGGCACCAGGTTGAGAAAGGTTGATTTATAGACTATGTGACCCATGGTTTTCAATGTTGGCTGTTCTGTTTCCCCATAGTCAGAAATGCCCCCCCTTCTCCTGTGCATGACAGTTTCTAGTGCAATGACTGTGATCCTTAAATCACTTATTTTAGAGTATTACCTCTGAGGTTCATGACAGCACGATCCTAGGCATGCCTACTTAGATGTAAGTCCCACTGGGTTCTGTGGGACTTGCTCCCTGGTAAATGTGTCTAGGATTGTAGCCTTAGCAACATATTAATCTCTTTCAACTCACATTGTTTATAGTTAATAGTTATACATTCCATTTGTTAATACTGGCTTTGCTAGACATGCAAAATAATCCTCTCTCCCTGTTCCCCCACCTTCGTATTTTTATGTGCATTAAAACAGAACGAACACCAGAGGGCAGCAAAATACAGAAAAGGGGAAATCTATTTTGTTTCTAAAAGCTGGAAAATACAAATAAATAATGTGTACATTTATTTTAGAAGCTGGCGAATTTCGGGTCTCTCTCTTCTTCCATCAGTTGGGTGGGGTGGGAGAAATAAAAGATGGAGAAGGGGATACAATGGAATTTGTTTAAATGTAGAAAAATATTTTCTGAAGATCTGAGGTAATTAAGGCTGTAGGAACTCAAAAAGCAAGGTCAAAAGGTCTTGAGGTTTCTTCCCATTTAAGAAAATAATGCATTACAAAGATCTCAAACAAACAACTGACATCAGCTTTTGGACATGTAACTAACACACACACACAGACACACACACACGCAAACACACAGACACACACACCAATCTGTCCGAAACACGTTTGTGTTTTGTTTTTTAATGTATGGATTAAAAAAATAAATGATATATATTTCTCTCTTCTTTCCCTAAGTGAAAAATAAATAAAAAGATAAAACGGCAAGTTCACTCACATAAGGGAAAGGACGATTAGGAAGGGGAGAAATGAAGGAGGGGGGAAGGATTTTTGCGAATTAGTCTTTGAGCAGCGCAGGATCCTTGGGAGTGGGGTGACTCAGACGTCACTGGGAGATCTGGACCGGAAAGGCATGGTGGAAGAAATGCAGCCGCAGCAGATAGTCCACAACACTTTTTGGATTTCTTGGTTCCTGAAGGCATAGATCACAGGGTTGATCATGGAATTGTAGGTAGCCGGGAGTATTGTCATATAGGTGTAGAGAGCTGGGTACGTGTAATCTCCGAGGAGGCAGTAAATGGCAAAGGGGAGCCAACAGGAAGCAAAAGTCCCCAGGATGACAGCCAAGGTGGAGATGCCTTTCCTGGTGGTGACGTAGTGCGAAGTGGCCAAGAAGTGTCTCTGGAGGGCAATCTGCTGTGCGTGCCTGCAGACGATCTTGCAGATCTGCACGTAGAGCTGCAACATCATGGCGAAGACCATGAAGAAGGAGATGGAGAGGATGATGAGGTTGTTCTTGGTCAGGGGTTTGACGATGCTGCAGGTGGAGTCGTCCTTCAGGCAGTTCCAGCCCATGACGGGCAGCAGTCCGAAACAGATGGAGACCCCCCAGGTGATGATGAGCATGATGTACGTCCGGGTCACCGTCCTTTCCGAATAGTAGGTCAGCGCATTGTAGAGGGACAGGTACCGGTCTATGGTGATGGCCAGGAGGCTGCCCACGCTGGCGGTGAAGGAGCACACCAAGAGGCCCACCGTGATGAGGTTCACCACCTGGGACTGGATGCAGTAAACAAAGGCAAAGTGGAAGATGAGGCCCAAGCCGGCTAGCAGGTCTGCGGTGGCTAAGCTCCCAATCAGGAGGAACATCGGAGTCCGGAAGGCAGGGGTGTAGAAAATGATGGCCACCACAATGGCATTCTCGCAGGAGATGATGGTCCCGGAAACGCAAAGCACCACGTCCCAAGGATTCAGGGGAAGAGGAGGAGGAGGAGCTTCGGAGAGATACAGGGAATTGCTGCTGCCATTGCTGGGCAGGAACCAGCCGGGCTGCTGGTCTTCAGTGGCATTGAGGCGCACCTCCTCTTTCATGCTGTCCTCTGGTGACCTGCAGTGGCACAAAAACACCCACTTAGCGTCCTCTGAGACATGATGGAAATCGGCAGGCGTTTGTAAGTGTCTGGGGACCAGAGGGTGTGTGAGTGTGTTGATGGAGGTGGGTTGGGGTCTTAGAACCAACTCCAGCCTTTATGGTACTGGGAATCAAGGCAGAGGCAAGCAGGCTGCCTCTCAGTGCTGAAGTTTGCTGGTGGTGGTAGGAGTGCCCATCAAAATGCCACCCCTGTTGCACGTGATGGCTGCATGCTTCTTATCTATGGTCTCTGGATGGGATATTTCTGGCAAGGGCCTGTCATTGTTTGCCATCGTTCTCCCCCCTCCACTCCTCCTTTCTTTTTTCTCAAATAAAGCCATCAAGATAAAGGATAGTAAACAAAATGCCACTATTGTTTCTGGTCAACGTACGCTTCCCCGGATTACATCATCACTGCGTACCTGGCAATAATCTTCCTTCCTTCTTCACCCCCTCCCTTGCCCAAAACACACACAGACTGAGCTCTCTCAAATCACCGACTTTCCCCAAAGTTTACTCAAGACTCTATAATGGAAAACTGTAAGAAGGCAATGATGCCTTACGGCGCAGCTCTTAGGCTGATTACAGTCTTTTGGCACCAAAAGCATCACCGGTGGATTTGTAAGGTCTGGCAGCAGCCTGCTCATCTCAGCCTTTGCCACGGAGCTGACATTGTTATTACATATGCCAAAGACCAGGGTTTTGCTCCCTTTTCTTCTTTGCTGGTCTGTTGTACTAACCACCAACGCTTGAGTCTATTTGGTCATCATGCCATGTCGTGCCTAGTAAAATTCAGGCAGTTATCTTTTAGAAATTATTTCCCCCAAATTCACACTGCAGAGCTACATTCTGGTTTGCTTCCTGAAGACAGGGCTACAGTGGGGAATGCTATATGTGGGTGAGAAAGTGAGACAGAGGTTTGTATGCTTCTAAACCCCTTCCTCTCTTTTCCCCGGGGGGACTAAGAATGCATGCATGCCATACTCCTTACAGAGCTACAATTCCCAGCACCCTTAACAAACTACAGTTCCCAGGAAGTCTTTTTTGGGGGATGCCCTTTAAATGTATGGCATGTCTGCAACCCTGTCCAGGTCTACTCAGAAGTCAGTCTCATTTAGTTCGCTGAGGCTTCGTCCCAGGTAAAAGCATAGAGGATTGCAGCTCTAAGGCTTAATTTTTAAATAGATTTTTTTTTGGGGGGGTCTCACCTTTTGCATTGGGAAAGGGGCTTTGATGCAGAGAAGCTGGTCTGTCCTGAGCATGTCAAATACTGCGGAAAAGAGGAGGGCGGCGATGGTGGCGGCGGCGGCGGCGGCACTTACCTCGGGTGATGTTCCAGAACAGGAGGCTGCACATTCAATCGGGATGGGGGGGGGGTCCGCTGCCTTGCGCGTCCGATTGGGTGGCTGCAGGACAAGGAATCCGCCTCTCTCAATGCAGATGCCCTCGGTCCTCCTATACCAGGAGGGCTGCGGACTGCAGGCTCCTCCGTTGCAGCTGCAATCCGAAGAGCAGCGAGGCTGGCTGGCAGGCAGACTGGCAAGGAGAAGCGCGGAGTTATACTTGAACAAGCCCCCTTTTTGAGGGTGACTCACACTTCAGGCTTTGGGGCTGGGGCGGCTCCTCACTTCGCATGTCTTTCTCCCGGGTGACGTCAATGGGCGGCGGGAGCCAATCACCTGGCTGCAGAGGATAGGGGCGCGCGCGCGCCGTCTGGCATAGTAAAGCTGGAGAATTCCATTCATAAAAAAGGGAATGTATGCAAAATAACAATAATACTAATAGACAGCACCGCTGGGGCTCTTGATGCGTAACCAGCAGGTGCCTTCCCCCTCCTCCCCCTCCCCCTCTTTCCGCCCACCCTGCCCTTCTAAAGTCCTCTGCGGAAAAGGAATTGTGAAGGGAGGAGGAGGAGGGGAGGAGGAGGCTCCCCAGCCCCAGGATTCCCCGACCGGGAGCAGCACTGTGGTCCAAGCAGGGCCGGATTTCAGTCTTTCAAATATCAGCAGTACCCTCTGCTGGCTCAAAATTCGGCACCTCCCACCCTCTCGCCATGTCTTCTGTTCAATTCACTACATCATAGTTGTGGCACCCGCTAGGCTGGGTGCCCAGTGCTGTGGAACCAGTCATGCTGCCCTAAATCCGCCTCTGGTCCAAGGACATAATGGAGGGAAGAGCTGGTGGTGTGGCTGGTTTATGATGCGCCAGGTTGGGTCTCTACGAGGACGAGGCATGAATGGGACAAAACATTTCGAGCCTCAGGTCCGACTCACCTATGAGGCAAGGTGAGGCAAGCGCCTCAGGCAGCAGAATCCACCAGGGCAGCCGGTCCAGTCTCCAAGAAATGCATTGCCTGCTGCCACAGTGACAGCAACAGCTGTGGCATAACTCCTTGGAGGCCAGATCTGCTGTCCTCTTGGCAGCCCCCCTCTTGGAGAATAGGAGGTGCTTCCTCTCTTCTCCCACCCTTGTTCGGGATGTAGATCAGTATATGTCCCTAAACCTCATGCCCAAGCAAATGTGGAAGTCAGATCATGGAGATTCCCTCTCCTTTTATCTCCCACCGAGGGCATAATGATTCATCTGCCACACTGAGCGTTGTCCCTCAAGTTGAGAGCATGAACATCTCTCCATGGGATGGTTTTACTGATCAAAGCTTTACCTCAATTTACTTTGTACTTAGATGCTGGATTTCTGCCTGTGCTCCTTGTCTGAAGTCTTTGGGTATAGTTCTGCATGAGCCTGTGTGACAGGGGTAGGGAAATTGTGGCTCTCCAGATGCAGTTGGAACCACAACTTAAATCAGCCCCAGCCAGTAAGGCCTCTTGGGTTGAGTTGTAGTCCAACCACCTCTGGAGGGCCACCTCTGCTCTGTTGTGGGACATCGTGCTAATACCTGAGTTGATTTTAAAAGGTTTTCTGACCAAATCTGGCCTTCTGAACGAGCCTTAAGCAAGAACATAAGAGGAGCCTGCTAAATTAGGCCAACGGCCCATCTAATCCTGCACTGGAGGAGAGGGCTGCAGCTCAGTGGCAGAGCATCTGTCTTGCATGCTGAAGGTCCCAGGTTCAGTCTTCAGGTAGGGCTGGGAGAGGCTCCCTGCGTAAAACCCTGGGGAACCAATGCTTGTCAGTGTAGACAGTACTGAGCTGGAGGAGCTTCATAGATGTTCTTCATCCTGTTTTCACAGCTGCCAACCAGCTACCTGTGGGAAACCCTTCATATCTGTGGTCATGTAAGGATCTTATTCATCAGTCTTCATAGACTCTAAATCGGACGGGGCAAACTCATTTTATTCCATCACTGTTCATCCATTTGGAGGTCCATTTTTAAACAGCAGCAGCAAGGGCTTTGACTAATTTAGAATCAAGGCACTCTGGCTGATAACTGTGTTTTGCAGAGCTGCAATCACTGCCTGATTGTCAATCCCGGTCTCCAGGTAATTTGCTACAGAGGTGTATTCCCCTTCATTAGCTGCATTACATCATTGTGCGGCTAAAGGGAAACGTGCTTGGATCTACATTTTCAGCCTCTCTCAGGCTACTAAAGACAGTGAAATGGGATGGTGAAAAGCCTGTTGGAAATCCAAAACTCATTGCTCTGTCGAAACCTTCTTTAATCTGGTGTCCTCCAAATGCTTTGAACTACAACTCTCGTAATTCCTGACCATCAGCCATGCAATGGTCAGGAATTACGAGAGTTGTAGTTCAAAGCATGATGGGAGTTGGAGTCCAAAACAGTTCAGGATGCTGCGATGTGATTACTGACAGGAGTGAAAACTTGCCAGCATATTGCACCTGTGCTCAGTGATCTGAATTGGCTGCTGCTGGCTGAAATTCAAGGTTTCTCTATTACTATATACAGCCCTTAACAGTTTGGGACCTGTTCCCTTTGAAGAATGGCTTTACCCCATATATGCCCACTTTGATTGGCAGAAGTGGCTCTTTCACACTTGCAAGTGTGGCAGCACATACATCATGTAACTCCCAGCCTATTGATAGAAGGCAGGCATCTTTGCTGTACAGTTTTTGGCACCTCCTAAAAACTTTTTTGTTTATGCGTGCTTGCCCAGGTAAACTTAAATAACAAGTCTTGCTCAGGTATGTAAATCTGACATATATGTTAACACTCTCCCCCCCCCTCGCCCCATGCATAAACCTTTTAGGAAGCTCAGAGGGGTTTACAGAGGCCTTCCTTGTGATCATGCCTCAAGGATTAGATCTGTCTGCTGGCCAGTTGCCCATCTCCCCTTCCTGGGCAAGGTTCTTGAGCGGATGGTCACAGAACCAGATCCAGGTGCTCTTGGAGGAAACTGATTTTCTAGATCCATTTCAATCAGGATTTAGGCCCAGTTCTGGCACAGAAACTGCTCTGGTCACCATGATGACTCATTTTGGGAGAGAGAGACAGGGGAAATGTGTCCCTGTTTATTCTCCTCAACCTCTCTGTGGCTTTCCGTACCATCAACCATGGTATCCTTCTGGAGTTGGGGATGGGTGGCCCCACTTTGTGGTGGTTCTGGTCCTACATGGATGGTCATCTCCAGGGGGTGATGCTTGGGGAGTGCCTTTCATCCCCATGGAGTCCTCAGGGTTCAATTTTATCGCCTATAATCTGTAACATCTATATGAAACTGCTGAGTGGGGTTATCCAGAGTTTTGGAGTGCACCATCAGCAATATGTTGATGACACACAGTTCCACTTCTCTTTCACATCTACAGGTGAGGCAGTGGAAGTGCTGTACCATTGCCTTGCCTTGGTAATAGGCTGGATGAGAGACAACAATCTGAAGCTCAATTCAGTTAAGACTGAGGCGCTGTTAGTGGGTGGTTCCTTAGACTGCTTGGATGGCAGGTTGCCTGTTCTTGTTGGGGTTACACTCCATCTGAAGGAGCAGATATGTAGCTTGAGGGTACTCCTGGATCCTCTGCTGTCGCTTGAGGCTCAAGTGGCCTCAGTGGTGTGAAGTGTCTTCCATCAGCTTTGGTTGGTGACCCAGCTGCCCTTATTTGGACAGAGATAGCCTAACTTCTGTTTTCTATGATCTGGTAACCCCTGGGTTAGATTACTAAGGTAAAGGTAAAGGACCCTTGAGAGTTAAGTCCAGTCGAGAACGACTCTGGGGTTGCGTGCTCATCTCACTCTATAGGCCAAGGGAGCCGACGTTTGTCCACAGACAATTTTTCCAGGTCATATGGCCAGCATGACTAAGCTGCTTCTGGCGAAAGCAGCACAGCACACGGAAACACCGTTTACCTTCCTGCCAGAGTGGTACCTATTTTTCTACTTGCACTTTGACTTGCTTTTGAACTGCTAAGTTGGCAGGAGCAGGGACCGAACAACGGGAGCTCACCCCATTGTGGGGATTCGAATCGCCAACCTTCTGAGGCAGTTCGGAAACTTTAGCTGGTGCAGAATTCGGCAGCCAGGCTGCTCACTAGGACAAGATAGTTTTAGCATATTCCACTGAACCTGCCTTACTTTGCCATGTGATAAGGCTGCCTCTGGGGTCTGAGGCCCAGAAAGATCTGGGAGGGACCATTACTTGGTGGTACATGCTTTGCATGCAGAATGGTCTCTGGTTCAGTCCCTCCCATCTCCATTTAAAGGAACAGGTAGCAGTAGTGAGAAAGAACTCTGCCTGAAACCCTGAAGATTTGTTGCCAGTCCAAGTAGACGAGGTATGAGGAATGTTTGGCTCTCTATGACATCCCTGAATGGCAATATCCATCAGTCCCAGCAAGCAAGGCCAATAGCCAGGGATGGTAGGAGTTGTAGTTCAGCAACATCTGAAAGGCCTGAATTAGAAAATACTGAGCTAGATTGAGAAATTGATTGACCTGTTATTTGGAACTTCTTAGCTTAACCATATAATTTACTTTCATGACCTTTTAAGATACCCACCCCAGGACAGACTACCAGAGACAATCTGACCTTAGGATAGACTTCCTTTCTATGTCACATAAATCATTGTTGTGTGCCAATTCCTCTCACTACAGACATCTCAAGCAGAGTGGAAGCTCGTGCTTCAGTGTGAATGGGGTGGACAATCATCAGTTTAAAATAACTCCTTTTCAGAACTTTTCCTGGGGGTGGGGGTGGGGAATATCTTTCAAAATAGAACATCCTAATTGAGATTATGATGCATCATCTGTCTCCATCTTTTTATTTTATATTTTTAACTAGTGACTCTACCGCTGAAGCGAATGAAATGCAATATATCTCCCTTTTCTTCAGCTGGTGCTTCTGCCAGCAGAATATCAAACAGCACCAGTTATATAATAGCCCACTGCACGCCATACATGTGTAATTAGATCCCACCAGAGAAAGCAGGCAGGCAGTGGAAGGAACACCCTTTGAAGTATTTCGGGATGATGATCTTGAGTGCTCCCGTATGCATAATGGATTTTTAATTTTTTTTGGCCTTGAAATAAAACAAGGGGTTGGTCACTTGATCCCGTTGTAGGTGTCGCCTGTGGGTCTGTTTGCAAGGCTAACAACAAACCGCCCCAGGATCTTGATCACTGCTGAAGATTCAAGTTGCTTTGCAAGGGCTACAGAGCAGGGAGCTGTCTGTGGTGCTGAATATCCATTCTTTGACCCAG